AGAGAAACCCTGTCTCAAAAAAAACAAAAAAAAAAAAAACAAAACAAAAGGGGGGAGAAAGGTCAGACCTAATAGCTTATCTTAAAAAGGCTACTAATGAGTAATTCCACTGCCTTATTTATTACAAAACAAATGTCTCATGGCTTTTAATGTGTACCATAATTTAATTCATACACCAACATTCAGATCAGGAATGGCTAACAATGTTTTTGTTGGGATGGCCCTGATTTAAGTAAAACTGACTTGTAGTAAAGTGGCTATGATCTTTTTTAAAAATAACAATTTCAGTCACATCCTATCACATCTCTCCTTTTCTCAAGATCGGATTGGATTTATTAAAGTTCTACTTTCCACAAAGATGGGGTGTCACCTCCAGCCTATTGAAGTTTCTTGTGCAATATAAATATATTGGTTTTATATTTAAATTTATATAACTGGGAATATGAATATGTTTAAATACTGGGAAAATTCTATCACTGTCTCAGAAACGAGAAGACTCACCTGTAATTCAGTTTGTATTCACTGGTCTGTTACAGGCAATGGCTACACATCAGGAAGTCACTGTCTATTCTTGACTGGATGATGTCATTTTAATTAGAATTCCCTGTCAAAGGATGCCGCCTTTTACCATTGAAAGGCACTTACTGTGATCTATGTATAATATCAAATAAAGAGTATTTAGCACTTGGAAAAAAAAGAATGTAGGACTAGAGGAAACATACCTTAACATAATAAAAGCTGTATATGAGAAACCCACAGTCAGTATCATACTAAATGGGAAAAAAAGCTTGAAGCAATTCCACTGAAGTCAGGAACAAGACAAAGATGTTAAATATCCCCACTCCTCTTCAATATTATGCTTGAAATACTAGATAGAGCAATAACGCAACAAGAGGAAATTAAAAGGCTACAAACAGGAAAACAAATCAAACTACCACTATTTGCAGATGATATAAAATGACACACTAGAGATCCTGAAAATTCTATCAGAAACTTATAGAAAAAATCAATTTAACAATGTAGCGGGAAACAGAATCAACTTGCACAAATAAAGAGCTTTTCTATACATCCCAAACAAACATACAGAGAAAGAGATCATGGATAACCTCAAAGAAAATAAAATATCTAGGAATAAACCTAACCCAGGAAGTGAAGGGTGTCTACAATAAAAATTTTAAACCTCTGCAGAAAGAGAGAGTGAAGAAAGACCCTGGAAAATGGAAGGACATTCCATGTTCATGGGCTGGTAGAATTAATATTGTGGAAAATGGTTATTTTACCAAAAGCTTATTCAGTGCAACCAAAATCTCCATCTCATTCTTCACAGAAACAGGGTGGGGGAAAATCCTACCCTAAAATTCATATTGAACCACAAGAGACCCTGGATAGCCCAAAAACTCCTGAGTAAAAAGAAGAGTGATGGAGGAATTACCATTCCAGACCTTAAGGTTCCTCCCTTGATGTAAGCCTTTCAATGGAGGCTCTATGATTTACACTGTGGTATATTTTGATACTTCATCTTTGTTACAACTCACCTAAAATGTGAAAACTCTATTTTCTAATAAGCCAGATGAAATTCCTAATGCTGTCTCACACTTACTTCGGCATAAGCAGTTAGCAGGACTCTCTGAAAGTAAGGCAACTTCTTACAGCACTGCTCGGAGGGGAGGGGAGGAAGAAAGGCAGGGACAAGAATGCTTGAGCGGGCACAAGCTCCAGGAACTGGGTTAAAGATGCTCTCCAGCCGGTGACTTGGCACGTGTTCTCCAGTGGCACTCAGAGCCCCGGACACCCACGTAAGGCCAAAGGGTGTTCCTGTATGCTGGGAATTTTGATGTAGCGCAGCCTTGGGGAGGCACTTGGCACCCACTATCTCAAGCTCTAAGGAAATAGGGCACTGAGTTCCAGTGCTGTCAAATGGAATTTGGCCTAGCCATTGGGGCTAAATAATAAGGCTAATTAAAGTACAAGGGATGTCTGATCTAAGAGTACATCCGGGTTACCAGTGTTGACTTCATATGAAAAGTGCTGAACACTGCATCATCCACCCTTGGGCTCACGTAAATTCTTATATAGATATATATATATTTTTAAGTGCCACATCTCTTTCAAAATACACATATTTTTGCATATTAACACTTCTTTAAATGGGACGTGCCTACAATTTGTCATCCATTTAATGAACACAGCTCGTTTTCCTGGGAAGATGTTAAGTCAATGGCACATCTTCCTAGAGCCACACAAGTCAAGGAAGCAAAGGGACAGATCCCGCTGCACAAGCCGTGGTCTGCCTATCGGGTCCTCAGAGGGAGTTAGTTCATCCGGCCGCATCCTGGCTCACAGTCCACGGAGGCTGGGCATAGGAACTCTACAGAGGATGAAGGAGAGGAACACTACTCCTAGCTGGGACATTGCCAAAAAAGTCTTCAGCTCACTGCAGCCCGCTAACTGGGTTCTCTGGAAATGCCAGGGTACTGAGAGCTCAAAAGAGAGAGGGATCTGAGGGCTCTGGGGGGTTGACAGAGGTACCTCAAGGGGAGAAGCATGGAGATAACACGTCTACTCAATCAGATGGCCACAGGCCAGCCCTGCACTGTTTTGGCTTTCTCTTTCCCTCTGCTTTGCCCAGACTAAAAGGCCTGAGACCTTGGACTGGCTTCACATCCTCCATGGGAAATGTTGCTGTCATTATTAGACTCATCCTCTGGAAGCGGATAAAATAGTAAACCAGAGCATCAAAGGGCCAAGTCCATCACTGTAGTTGCTCTCTGACTTTCAGCCAAATGTGTTTCTGACCAGTGTGTTTTCCTGAGCACATTCCATGGTTAGATGTCCTGGCATCGCCAAGTACTCTCCTATTAACACACCTTAGCATAAGCATTGCTTTAAACTGTATCATTTATTTATTTCATTTGAATATTCTCGCTATTCTGTGAAAGGAACAAATTTTGGTTGCTCCCATTCACTTACTTGGAGGGGACCCTCTCATTATTTACTGCATAGATAAAAAGGGAGACACTGCAATTCAGTGTGTGTGTGTGTGTGTGTGTGTGTGTGTGTGTGTGTGTGTGTGTGTGTTTGCCCTGGGTCACTCTTGACAATAAAAGAGGAATCTGTTTCCTGGTACCTGGCCAGAATGCCTTGCCTAAAGATAGTATGTATGCCTGGAGCGGCTAGTTGTCCTGGCAAAAGACCAGAATGAACCCAAGGTGAATAGTTGAGGGATCAAACAGAGAAGCAGGCCAGTTCTTTCTCAACCCCCGGTTGACTCCTGGGTAGGGGTGTGACATGGAAGATGACTTTCAGCCATATTACGAGGTTGGTGGTAAGAGGGCAGAAGTCTACACTCTGGAATCTCTTGATCTTCTGGGAGATGATACTTTTAATTTACATCCACACAAGACTGTGTCCCAAACCAGAAGGGTTTTGCCTAATTCATCATGCTCCCCAGGCCACACAATGGGACCCCTGACAAGCAGAACATCGCAGAGTGAAAGGAAGGGACACCGTGAGGGCTCATGAATTGCAAATACCTCATCATTAAAAGATGCTGCCTTGCTTGCGACCATCTGCTTGATATGCTAGGGCCCAGGACCTCGGGCTAGAAACATCTGCTGCTTTAATCATTTTACCTCTTAATTAAAGCACAGGCGAAGGGAAGCCAAACATAGCCATGACCCTGGACATATCACAGTTTAGCCATATAGATTGGAGACCACATCCGCCCTGGACGGGCATGAATGAGAATACACAGGTGTGCCGTTCAGCCAACACATGCGCTCCCCACTGAGATAAAGCACATTCGGGTCCATGAATCCCCTCCCACTGATGTGATGTACCATTTTGAAGGCACTTTGTTTTGCAGTTTCATTGATCCTCCACTGAGGCAGCTTCCTGATGGTTGCCTTTAAGCTGTTGTGCCCTGAGGCAGGTTGGTCAAGCAGTTAATGATCTATAAATAAACACTTTAGGGCACTAGGGGAGATGCTTTTTAAAGGAACCCCACTGCTAATCCTTTTGTACTGCCAAGAACCTTTTTGTAATGGACACAGACACCCCTTAATTGAACTGTTTGGTAAATTCAGATTTTTATTTCAGGTTTCATGTGCATTATCAAAGTGACAATGTATGGAAATGTGTACTCACTGTGTAAACAGTAAGCACTCAGTAAACAGTAGGTGACACTATCATTTCTTCATTCGCAGTCCCCCCACATTATTTTGAATTCGGATCACTTTTAACGCTTGCCCAGCCACCCTGGGTTTGAATCTTGCTTTTCTTCCCTCCCATCAGCCTGTGATCTCTCCAGAGCCTAGAGTTCTTTCTATTTCTTTGACTATAATTTCTTTATAAAATATACTAAGTTTCACTCCTGCCAGAGAACCAGGTAGGCAGACTGCCCATCTTCATCTCACCCTGTTCCTCCGGACCCAAGCCCTCAGTCTCAGCCCCAGCTCTGCAGCAGTACACCTCCTGCACCCTTCCCTGTCCCCCTGCCCTCACCCACTGTGGATCCCACAGATCTTCCTCCTAACCTCCCTCCCTGCAACTCATCCCAGTATCCCAGCCTCCACCACCAGCAGGCATCCCCTGCAAACACACCAGCTAAGCAGGTCAGGGAAATGGTTAAGCTAACTGCAGGCCTTCACCATGTCCTCCTCTCCTCCAAACTCAATTCCCCAGTCTCATCCCTATCTCAGCAACAACACACTTGCCGCAGCCTTCCTTCCCCCTTGCCCACATCTTCTGTGGATCCTACAGATCTTCTGCTCCTTACCTTCCTCTCCCCACTTGTCGCTTTATCCCAGGCCCCACATCCAGGGGGCACTTCCTGCTAACCCACAGGCCGTCTTGGCTAGGGAAGCAGATAGGTTGTCTGTACGGATCTTCCCCTCTCCTTCTGTTCCTATAGATCCAATTCCCCAGTCTCATCCCCAGCACCATAGCAGACCCTCTGAGGTGACCTCTTTTCACTGTTCTTCATTCCAAGGAGATGAAATAAGCAGATCCTGGTTGACCACTCTGTTTTCTTCCCTCCTGTGAACCCCTTCAGACCCCCAGCCTATCGTTATTCCTAAGTGTCAGCTCCCAATACCTAGAAACACATTTTGCCTGGAACCCCCAGTGGCCACACTTAGCAGATCAAAAGAAATTTCCCTGCCAGGTAACACACAGGTCACACAATCCAAAACTCCAGAAAAGACACAGA